TTTGTGTATTTACCACTGCCAGGACTAGAAGAGGCTTTTATGGTCATTTATCTGGCTTCTGGTATGAGACAGATTGATTGCAGCATGCCAGCAAGCCAACACCTTTTGCAGCAGTGGTAATGTCACTGAATTTACTGGAACAAGATGCTGAGAGTTAGCTCCTAAATCTAGGGCCATTATAGATGATGGAAATCATCAGCCAGACTGAAATGCACCATCTGCAAGAATAACTGATGGGATGCTGCCATCTGCTCCAGCCCCAGTCATTGCTGTGAACCACACACTGCTTGGTCTGAGGGGGATTATATTCCTTCAGAGCAGAAATAAAGGGTGGTTTTTGTGAGGTTTGGCTGTTGACACATGCTTACAGCTGAAAAAGAAGAAAACGTGTCTGAGAGAGAGCACCTGGGGCTAATGGTTTAATGGCATGAGGCTGTGTTGGGGTGGGGGATTTGGGTTGGATATCAGGAAAAGACCTTTCTCCCAGGGGCTTTTGGGGCATTGGGATGGGCTCAGCAGGGAAGTGGTCACAGCTCCAAGTCTGTCTGAGCTGAATAATTGTTTGGACAATGCTTTTAGGCTCAGGGTGTGATTCTTGGGGCTGTCCTATTCAGGGACAGGAGGTGAATCTTTGTGGATCCCTTCCACCTCAGAATATTCAATGTGGCCTTATGGACATTGCAGGGGAATTGTGTCTCTTCAAATAATCAGGTGAGGATTATTCTGCATGGTTCATGGTTTGAAAATGTTAATTTACTTTTCTTGAGAGAAGGATGAAAAAGTTTGTGCAGAGAACTGTTTCAGTATCAGTACTCTGTGTGTTTGTGTCACTATTTCTGGAAGATTTCCATTGTGTATGGGCAACTCAGGCTCTCAGTTAGCTCTGAGGCACTGAGTCAGCATCCCTGCCAAACCCTTGGCTAAAGCTCTGTTTTGAGTTATTGATCTTCATATTTCCACCACTTGATTCAAGCTGGAGTTTTTCCTTTCTTGGCCCTGTGTGAGGCAGAAGTGAAGAGGAGGCAGGATGTGTCCTCCATCAACCAAATGGCTGAAACTCTACGTGGGAGCCAGCAGTTCCTTGGCATTTCATAGCAGGCACTGCCCCTTGCTAGGGCTGTCTTTGCTTCTCCCTTGCTCCAGCCACTGCCCACAGTTCCTCCTGCTTTGTGAAAAGCTACAGTGAAGGGGAATGTGCCATCAGGAAGCCCTTAGCTGCCACCCAGGGCAACCCAGATGGAGCAGGCCAGGGTGCAAGCTCAGGAGAGCTCCCAAGAGTAAAGTTACCCTTCCCCAAAGCTCCCCTCCACATATTGCCTCTCTGATAATCCAATTAAAATCACATTTGCTCTTCTCCTCACACACTATGCCTCATCAAAGGCCTGGTGAGAGATTTAGAGGTGTGAAGGTCTTGGGTGATGCTCAGTGCAGGATGCCTGACTCACATGCGAATGCCACTTTCTATAACCAAAGTTCCATACCAGAGAAGATGGTACAAGCCATCAGATGGGCTCCAAATCTACTTTTTGTACTCTTCCTTTTCTAGTATATCAAATAACAGTATTTTTTATCACAATTTTTTTTTTAAGTAAGCCTCAGGCATGAATGTTTATTGGCTCATCACTAAACTGAGAACTTAGAGCTGTGAACAGCTGCATATTGTCTCTTGAGATGTTGCCTTCAGATGTGGGGGGACTCTGTCACCTTTACAAGGAGATGTGAGTATGATACTTACATTCCCTGTGAGGAAACTGTGTGCTGTCTTACAAAGAGCAGAAGTGTAAAGGAAAGAGCAAGCCACAGAAGCAAATGTTCGAGTGCAGCGCTTTGTGGCTTCTGCAGTGGAAACAATGCCTCAGAGAGAGAGCAGAGATGTGCAAAGACCAGCCCATTGTTGCGGCTGTGCTCCGTCCTCTGCTCTCCTGAGTGTCAGAAGATGGGGATGTGTAGCAGTGCAATGGGCTAAACAGGGCTCCAGCATCCTTAGCTTGATGCTGAGGACAGGCCTAACTGAGCCAGGCCTAGCAGCACCGTGCTGGGAGACATCTACTTTTCTATCATTGCCCATTTTCTAGCTGCCTTTGTTTAATCCAGTGCTGTTACTTCCTGTGTGAGGAGAGAGGGTGTCAGCAGTGCTCTCACTCGCTTCTCCTCACTGCAATCTACAGCTGTTATCTACAGCTCACCCTGTCCTGCCCAGCAGAGCTTGGGCCAGTGCCTGGGCTGTGGCCACACAGAGCTCCAGCCACAGCTCTCTCTGCGCCTTTCTCTCCACCTTGGAGGGCATTTCTGGCCAGTGCTCTGTGCTGGAGCTGCTCTCAGGATGTTTACCCCGTGCCACATCTCTGAAAGTACATGCTGGCTTCTAGGGTTCCTCTGTGGCAGCAGCCCAGAGCTGCTGTGCTTTCCAGAGACACCTTCAGGCACCTTCTCCTCTATGCCTTCTCCGGGGACTCTCCTTGAAGGGAAAACAGAGACATCAGTGCAACAACTTAGAGTGCCTCCTTCCAAGTAACATCCAAAAAATCCTTCTTCTAAAATGGGGATCAAAGCCCAGTCAGGACTGCAGCATGACATTGCCTTGCTTTTCAAGAGGGGAAGGGTAAAGCTGGCAGAATATTGCCATGTCCCCACTTGTCATCTGGCAGGAAGACTGAGCTTAGAGACATGGGTGGCTTTGTCTCTCTCCAGCTGGGTCTGATGCAGCAGGAGGTTTCAGAGGCTGGTTAGAAAAGGGGCTGCTTTTGGGACAGACCATGCACATGCCAGGATCTCATGGGGAGCTCTTGCTGCAGGTGAGTGGTGTGCCCTTTTTGCAGGTTTGGCTGTGCTTCTGGCTTTTGTCACTCAAAGTCTTGCAAGTGGATTTTGAGCATGTGCACCGAGTACTTGGGAATACCAAGGCTTGGTGTCTCTTCTGTGAGTCCAGTGACCATGGGGCATCAGCCTTTGAGCCCTCACCCTTCTCTCAAATGCTTCTTCACTGCTCACAGTGTGCTCATTTTTGAACAGAAGTTTTATATCCTTTACAAATGGGTTCTTGCTCCTGCCTACCTGTTGCTCCAACAGCAAGCAGGATGTTTGGTGAGCTGGTGTGCTGGACCATAGCGGCTTTTGACCCATTTCAGCTGTGAGTTTAGAAGATGGTGTGTGGCACCTGGGCATGCCAAACTGATTAACTGAAAGTAGTGGCCTTCATTATGGATACAGAGAATTTTTTCACACCTGGTTCTACCACTATGGAGCTTTACCTGTCTTCTCTCTCTCACACTCACACACACACACATCTTTCCCTTTGCATTTCGTTTGTACCGTGACAATTCCCACCCCAGAGTGTTGGCAGGGTGACCATGCCAACAAACAGACAACCTGCAGGGGTACCCTGGAAGCAGGCAGGGGCTTTGAGAGATATTTCCCTGAGGAAGAAGAAGGGAAACAAAGTTGAGCAGAGCATGGACAGTGGTTTCAGCATGCTGGATCTCCCTCTGCTCTGCTTGATGGACCTAGCAAAAAAACTTTAAAAAACACAGGAGAAATCAGGGTTGCTGCCTTTACCCAAATTTCTTTAGGTGCTTGGGCTGGAAGCAGATGTGTCCAGGAGTTTGACACAGATTGCTTGGCTGAGGAGATACCTGAGTGTGGCAGCCCCTGCCCTCAGCTTGTTTCTTGCCACAGAGGGTGGAGGTCAGGCACAGAAATGTGGTCTTGCCGCTGTTGCTTCCTCTCTCATTTTGTGTATGCCTCCTTTGTGTGTTCTTTGGAAGGAAACAAGAGCAGAAAGTAGGAAGAAAAACTAGCTTTTCCTGCACTGAGTGGTTTTTTTAATCTCATTAATACCAGTAAAAAATGATTAAGCTGGAGAAGGGGAGGTGTCTTACAAGGAAGACCTAACTTCAAGGAAGAGGAATGACATGAACGAACAAGCAAGGTTTATCTACTCTTGTAGATATATAGATATAATGTAGATAAAATGTAGATAAAAATCTGGTGCCACAGATTTCCTTCTGTCTTCTTTCTTGGCCCATGCCTGTCACAAAAAGCTGGAACATTTCAGTGGCCACTGCAGCAGAGGAATTATGGTGGTGAGGATAAGACTCAAAATCCTCACCACTCCATCTGTTTCATACTGGAATCAGGGATAAGGACCTCATTAGCTTCTCTCATGTTCTTGGACCTAGCTCCTCACAGCTTCTTTTCTCTTTCCCACAGCAGCCAGCTCCAGGGCCGGATTGTGGCTGGATCAAGGCAGGGTTCTCACCCCCTTCCATGCCCATCCCTCTCTCAGCTGCCTGCAGGAAGCATTTGTGCCTCTGGCCAGCTTAGCCCAGATGTTGATGCCAAGCTGGTCCTGCTGCTTTCCAAGGGAAGTGTGTCTCCTTTCCAAGCCCTGTCCAACAGCCACCTGCTCCTCACTGGGGGCCCTGGGCTTGCTCTCCTCTTGCTGCTGCTGAACCTGTGGGGGAGAATTAGGCTTCCCATCACTCCCCCACCCAAAAACTGCATCCCTCCCACTAGGATGATGGCATGTGGATTGTGAAAAGCCCAGAAAAAGGTACCCGGACGTCTGCAACTCTTTGTTTCTGTTGTCTCATATTGTCCTAATCCGAATTGTCCAAATTATTATTACTCTAATTATATTGCTATTTTTATAACCGTTTTATTATCATTAAACTTTTAAAATTTTAAAAACTCCCAAGTGATTGGCATTTTTGACATGGATGCTGGAGCTGAGCTCTCCAGGTGAGCACTGAGGAGGATGAGGGCCCCATCTGGCCCTCCAGCTGGGAGGACAAACCTCCAGGGCATTCCTGCATTTCAGTGCCCATTTTCTTTGTTGTCTCCATGTTGCCTCCATGCAGATCAAACACCCTGTCGAGGCTTATTTCCGCCCCTGCTAGAAATGAGAAGTGCTGGAGGAGAGGAGGAGGGCACAGAGGCTGCACCGACATGTCCCATCACTGCCTGCTCACAGCAGAAAACCCTTTCACCTGCCAGGAGCTATCACTAGACAAGGCAACACTGGATGTTTTTTGACCCTGAAAATGAACTTTAGGAGGATTTTCCTAGTCAAGTGCTTGATGCTTTTATTTCCCAGTGTAAAATGTGAGTTTTTCTTACAGTTTTTTGCTCTTTTGGGCTGATGTTAAAATTGCATTTTAAAGCATTTACAACTTGGTGGGCTGCTACTGATAAGGAACTTGTTCCACTTTTCCAATGAGTGAAGACATCTGGGTTATTGCTATTATTATTTGATTTAATTTTCAGCCAGGGGGAGGGCAGGACCTGAGTTTCCTATTCCAGTTATAATAATAAGTTGTAAAGAGTTTTGGTTTTAAGTTAATGAGCCTTAATTTGACACATGTGTAATGAGAAATGTCAGCATACAGTTTGCTTTCTGCCCTCGAGGCAGCTTGTACTACATTAGAGATCCAGTTCACTGTGCATTATCGCATGTAATTTCCTTTTCTTATCAAAGACGTGCAAATCTTTTGAAAGTGCAATTTATATTCTTCCATAAATATTAACAGAGTGATAGATTTCAGTGTCTTCAGTGGAGCTGAAGTTTAAGATGTGAAAACAGCAAGCAACTGCATATATTTTTTATATTTTGCATATTATTGCTCTCATTATTTTTTAAAATATTAATCTAAAAACTTAATTAAGGTGTTAACTCATAGATTAGAGAAGGTTTTAAGAGATGGAGACAATACAAGCCTGCATAATTTTTTTCCCCCTCTGTTTCATTCCACTAAGTTTGTATGTATGGCTGTTTAATGCTTTGCATTTCCTTCAGAACAAAATTAATAGATAAATAAGGATTTCTTCTTTTTATGTACACAATCTATAAAACATCTTCCCCAGCAGAAATAAGGATTATTCCCTCGAATAGAAAATTGTTTCAGAGACTTCCTTCCTTCTCTAAAATTACTATGGGAGCTTTTTCTTTTAACTCTTTCTTGTGACTGTGAGTGAGCTGTAGTCTCTCAGTTAAAACCTTTCTGCCCTTTGGAGCACATTTTAGTGGGCATTTTTATCAGGATTTTTGTTTCATTAGCTAAACAGATTTTTAGTATCATACATGTGGGATACTCAGCTTTCCACTAGAAAGACAATGGAGATCAGATTAATATTTAGAAATGTCTCTGGTCCACAGAGATGCCATTGAATTATCCTTGGAAACTCAGATTACTTTTTTCCTTTACTTTCAGAGAGAAAATATAAGTAGTGTCTTAAAATATAAGAGAAAATATAAGTTATGAAAAGAAATCCTATTACTGGCTCTAAATACTTGTTCATGACTGAGCAGAAACAAGTATCAGAAATCAAATATTGGGGTATAATGTGTAGTGTCATCTGTGTGGGGCATAGCTGCTTCCAAGGCTGTTTTGTTGATAGCTTTATTTCAGGACATTTCATTAGATATGTCAAATACCTTGCAAGAAAGGCAACGCTGGAAAAACAACCTCTCTTTGGAGGTGGTGAATTGCCAGAAGCACTACAGCATTAATGTTCTTGTTGCAGAGGCATGCTATTTTAGTTCTCTGATTATCTCTAATATTGTTAGTTTAATGAAATAGCCAGTGGGTTTCAGTTTCCCCTCTGTGGTGCCATTTATCATTATCCTAGATACAAGGAGTGAAGGACTGTAATAAAAATATGCATAAACACAGGTTTTTCTCTCTGTGGGGAAAAAATTACTTAAAATACATAAAATTAGGGCAGAATCAGCTCTGTGTGGTGATGGGAAGGGAAATCTCCTCCTGCTGATTGGCTTCACCGTGTAAATTGAGGAGGAATGAGCGCAAGAAAATGACAAACTAAATAAGCTGTGGCTTCGAGCTCGCGCCAGTGAGCTTATCCCACCTGACACTTGCACGCGGATTTCGCCCTCCTCCCGCAGGTTTGTCCACCTGCCACGGGGGTGGGGACAGTTCCTCACTTGGAATGACCTCCCAGGGAACTTTGCCAAGTGCTGGCTCACCAGAAATGGGGTCTGCAGAGGCAGTGGCTGGAGGGGAGCAGGCAGAGCACCCGGGCACTGCTCCAGGAGCGCATCATCCCCACTGCTGGACACGCGGTGGATATTTAGTGAACATCCCCTTTGGCAGCCCCGTGCCCAGGTGCTTCCCAGTCCTGACACCACCTTGGGGAAGCTCCTACTCGTCACTGTCCTGGAGAAGGGACCTGGAATCAAAAGAAGAGAAGATTTTTGGGGATTTTTTTTGGCAATTGCTTTTCTTGTAATGACTCCTGCAGCCCCTCAGATCTTGGTAGCTGTTTCTTCCTGCCTTACTTTCCCCATCAGGATCCTGTGCTAGAAAAATCAAGTGGATGCATTCCAGTGGGGCAGAGTAACTGGGATGGGAGAGGGGGGCACTGCTGTGGGTGTGCCTCCAGTTCAGTGCCTTACACTCACTCGCAGCTTGACAAGGGCTGCTATTATTATCATCATTGCTATCACTGGGGTCGCTGAAATGATTCTGCTGTCCAGGGATGTGACTGTTTTTGCTGTTTGCAGTTCTGGGTACCAGCCTGTGCCGCATGCAAAACACAGAAGTGACCTTCTTTGAAGGAAGGGCTGAGTTCATGTTAAAGTGAATGGGAGGCCATGAATTTTGACATCCAGAGTCACTCCAAGTACAGCCAGGGTATAAATTTAGATTTTGAAAGCTGGGCTCTTAGCCTTCTTGCCCCTCAGAATTAAACTGGATGCTGGCATTTATCTAATGAACAATCAAGAAATATTTTGGAGCAGGGGAAGAAGATGGCATCAGTAAAGCAGAGAGGCTTAGGCAGCTCAGGAAGGGGGTGGCATAGCAAGTGACAGCCTTTTGGGTGACTGCTGTGGCTGCTGGAGACAACTGAGGGGCTGGCTGTGCTTCCTTCCACAGGCTCCAGCAGCAGCTGGATTTACAAGGCAGTGAATGAGACAGCTCTTCTCAGCATCACTGCTCCTGGGAGCATCTACGAGGCCACATGGAGGAGAGAGGGAGAAAGGCTGGTTCAGATCAGAGGCAACAAAGCCAAGCACTTTGTGAACCAGGAGCGGTGCAGGTGCGCCATACTCCGGAACGGGACTCTGCAAATCCAGCGCCTGGAGAAGGAGGACAGTGGCAACTACAAGGTGGAGGTTTATGAGAAGGATGGACAGCTGAAGGCAGAGGAAAATATAAAGTTATTCGTTCAGGGTGAGTTTTTGTCTTTGCCATACCATGCTCAGGACAGCTGAACAAGACTTGGTATTCTCTGCTCTCTCCCACAGCCTTTCCTATTCAGTGCCCTCCTTGCTGATTAGGAGTGGCAGGACCTCTGTAGGGCTGTACCTTTTCCTTCCTGCCACTGACAGCAGCCTGCCTCTCTCCTCCCTTCTCTTGCTCTGGCTGATGGCCTCAAATCCCCAGCTTCTTTCCCCTGTTTGTCAGCCAGCAGGTTCCCAGCTGTGCCCAAGAGAGCAGCTGTGAGCAGGTTCACACTGAGAGCAGGGTGAGGGTGGTCAGCCCTACTGCAGCACCACAAACAGTGCTGGGACCCTGAGCTGGGGTGGGATCCTGAGAGGGGCCTGGGCTCCCAGCAGCATCCTGCTTCCAGAAACCTCTGCCAAGACCACAGCAGCCCATGTGGGGTACAGCTGTGGCTGATGCACTGTGGGTTTTGGGTACTTCTGGTGCCATTTTATGGGTACTGAGTTATGACTTTTGTTCTCTGGCTGCTGGTCCAGCAAGCTGAGAAACTTGTGTTGCCAGCCCCTTGAGGAGAGCTCAGGAGTCCTGATGGCACTAAATGCCTTCATTCAGGCAATGGAATCCCACTCCATTTTTGCTCTAACATACAAAATAGCCAGCAGTCACCTCCCCTGAGATAAACCACAGGAGGAGCTGAATTTGCAGTGGAAGAAGACCCCTGCACCCTTATCCTTGCACAACACAACAAATAGAAAGACTGTGCTCTTTGAAGCACAGTTAAGCACACACCTGGGGATTTCAGCTGCTTGGGTTCAAAGCATGAGGGTAGCCTCCATTCCTGTGCTGTATCTTGTCCTCAGAGATCAGAGCAGTAGAGCCCAAAGGTTTTGGGGTGAGTAGGGATGATGGGGATGGCTATTCTGCTCCTTAAAAGCTGCTGTGTCCTCTCCAGACCTCTAAGCTGTAGGACAGCATGGGTTTTTTTCCCCAGTAAGGGGATAGCTTTGTTCTGTCCTTCTTCAGTCATCGTGCACAGCTTTGCCAACATCTTGAGTTTGTGGCACCAGCTGGGGTTGCAGAAAGGATGCCTCATTCCAGCAATGACAGCTGGAATGGTTTTAGCAGGGTTCCTGTGCAATGGGAGGCCCCTTTGTGTCTAAGGGGCTGCTGAGTAGTGAGGGTGTCTCACTGCTTTGGGAGCTATTACTGTAAACAGATTGAGGAAGTTGTCAGGGCCTGATGGTTCTTGCTCATTTTTGAAGCCACTCTGCTACCATTGGGGTGTCCTCATTTCAGGTCAAGGTTAATGCTCCAGCCCAGCTGTGTGCTGCATCATTTCCTCTGCTGTGCAGCAGAGAGGTTACATTACCTCTGACACATGGAAGTCCTGTAGTAACTGTTGGGTGCTAGAATAATTTGTCAGCCAGGCTGGCCCTTTGTTACTAGGGCTGAATAAACAGTTCTTAGAAAAAAAAAAAAATTGTCTCAATGATATCCTCACCCAACTCTAGCACCTGGACTCTAATGTTTCCCACTGGGATGTTTTCCTGAGGAATAGGTTCCAGTTTGCAGAGGAGGAGTGGGCTTACCAAGGAAAGGGTGGCTGAGGATGTTGTGGTGTGAGCCTTGAGCATGTGCTATGAGCAGTCCTTATGTGCTTTAGAATTTATTATCTCCACAATTTACTCAGCCTGTAACTAAAGGTGGCATTGGCATGTTTTTGTTTATCTGGTCCTAAAGGTAGAAATAATTATTTTTTCATTTGCTGTCCCTGCCAGTTGGCCTTACTTGAGAAAAATCCTGCAGGCTTTTCCATCTCTGAGTGCCACCAGTGATAGAGAAACTGGAACCAAAAGGGAGCAAGTTGTTTGCAGGGCATAGGAAGAGACAGAAATCAGTTTTTTCTGTCATAACCTCGTTGAGAGCTGAAGTGTCTGTTTTGTGCTCTCCATTCTGGCTTGATGGCCTTCCATGCTGTGCTGTCGTGCCTGCTGAGTGCTGTTGGTAGCACACAGAGCATCATGAGGAGCTTTTCATAGTTTTTCCTGCTTTAGAGAAAAATCTCTCCCTGACAGGCACAGCCAGAACAGGATCAACTTCCTTTGCACCAAAGCACAGGGTCCAGAGGTGGAGGGGGCTGTTGCTCTCAGTCCCTTCCACCCACCTCAAGGAGACTCAGCTTCCTCCCCTCACCTGCCTGGTGTCCAGGTATCTGAGCAGCAGCAAAAATATGTATCAGCTCTGTTTCACCAGGCCAACCACGTAGGCTACTGCTCTGATTTTCTTTATTGTTCCCTTGTCACTTCTGCAGTAGAGGTCTAATTTGCTCTTCATTCTTCTGTGACCTCATTGGCTGCTGATTTGGGGTTAATTCTCTGTTCTGCTTAAAGCAGAGGCTTTCAGGAGGAGGAACTCTCTCAGATGTGCCTGTCCCTTCCCTTCTTTTTCAGAACCTGTCCCTCCGCCAATCCTCATGGCTGAATGCAGGAATAAAAGTGTGTCTGTCAAGTGTGGAGCCAAACAGAAGGCCAAGGATGAAACAAAAGGGAAGGCCAAGGATGAAGCATTTACAATCGAACTGACCCAACCCAATGGCAGAAAAATCCAAAAGAATGCAACACTGCTGGAATGGCACGGGTGGAGTTCTGGGACGTTCCGATGCGTTGTTAAGAACCAAGTCAGTGAAAAAATGGCTGAAAAAGTATTTAACTGCTCAGGTGAGAAATCTATTCTGTCAGAATGTGCTAGGGTGGACCACTGCCGAGGGCAATGGGGTGTGAGAGGGGTTTTGCTCCTCCCCTTCTCCTGTGGGGAGATCCATTGTGTTTTTCTCCTCTCCACAATCGTGTCTATCAATGTGGTAGTTGCTTGCTACCCATGGGTGTGGATGAGTTCTCTCACCAGGGGAAAAAATAAGCTGCTTGGACTCTTCAGCTTGGCCTAGAAACCAGGAGGGAAGTTCTGGAGGATTTTTCTTCGGGGTTACACAGGTCAGATAAGCACGGTTCAAATGTACCAAGGTTTTCCTATTCAGCTAACCACAGATGCAGCAAAAGGACTGAAAGGGTTGCATTTTAAATGGGAAGAGTCATGCTGAAAATGATTCAGTAGGCAAAAGAAGTCATCACAGTTGTCATCCTCCCACATAAAAATTCTGCAAGTTAAGGCACAAACAAAGGACAGATCACACTGGTGTGACACGGGGTGTGGTGTTCAAAATTCAGAATTCCAGCGCAGTGCTGGGGAAAAGTCCTTGAATTTTCCAGGCTTGGGTTCATCACACCCAACCACGAGTGCTCTGCTGGAAGCATTTTCTTACTCTAGATTCCTGCTGGAGATGGTGGAGAGTAGGGGGGGCTCACAAGAGCTGGCTCAGTATTTCAAATTTTTACATATTTCTGCCATAGTGAATTTAGGGAAAGTCCGAATCTGAAGGACAGCCCATGGTGTGAGAAGGGAGGAGGGAGCAAGCCCGAAGGCATGAAGGCTTTACTGAAGTGATCCTAGGTCTGCTGATTGTGACTGATGGGCAAAGAGCTGAGGGACAGGATGGCCACTGCTCTCCTGTGCAGCTGTTGCCTCCTGAATAATCCTCCTGATTTCAAAAATAGCCAAGCAATGCATATTTTTGCTGCTGCCTGACCTGATGGACTGCACAGTCCCATTGATGGTTGATGTTAGCACTGGGAAGGGGCAAGCAGGATGTGGCATGGACTTTGCAGCCAGGTATGAAAGAGTGCTGCTGGATTGGGTCTGTTTAAGACAAGGCAAGCTATCCCAAACTCCTTGTCTGGATGAGGAAATGCTGGCCAAAGCTGCCCATGCCAGGACACAAGCCAGGCAAGCCCAGGTCTGCCTGCACTGCTGCTATGGGCAGACATTGGCCATCATCTAGACAATTCTGATTTCACTTTTTCTCACCCTTGAGAAATACTCTTTTATCACAGGGTGAATTCGGTTGGAGAGTTTGGGTTTTTTTCTCACATCATTAACAGAGAAATACCAATGATTTTAAGGTACAAACACAGCATTTCTCAGATACCAAAAACCCCCTAAGACCATGGAGCACTACTCTTCCTACACAACTAAATACCTCTCAAATTTTCTATGTAGTGGTGGGACTCTGCCAGCTCCACAGTAGATTAAAAATCCCTCATCTTGCAGTCAAACCTCCTTCTAACCCTGCTGCCCTCTGTGAACACTTGGTCCTGCATTTGAGGCCAGTCACCTTGAATTTTGACCTTTAGAGGCAAGAAGGTACATTTCAGGTGAGCATTAGCTCAGCCAGCTTTTCATGGAAGTGTAATTATATGTGAATCTCTCTGGGCTCCTCTTGCACTCATCTGGGAGAAACAGGCACAGAAAAAGCAAAATACACCTTGGTGTAACACTGGCTACTAAAACAAGTGGCAATTTAAATACAGTGAGCTGGCACACACGAACACTCTGGTTTCAATTTTCTGCAGAACTTGAACCCATCAGGGAGCAATCAAAATTCTCAACAACGAGGAACAGCAACTTTCTGCTGTAAACAGGTAAAGGCAAAGGGTGGGGTGTCTGCTGGTCTGCCTTTACAAAAAGTCAATGGAAGAAAATACAGAATTCTAAGTAGATGTTGTGCAAGTGATTTCTTTCCATCTAACATCCTTTTTCATCCCCTTAACTAGGCAAGATGGACTTTTATCTCATCTTAAGCATAGCAGGAGGTGCAGTCTTCTTTGTCATCTTTGTGATTTGTCTTATTTATTGTATCAGAAGGAAGAAAGCAAAAAGGAATGAAGTTTATGGTAAGTATTTAAGAGACTTTGTTTTGCTATCCAGCCACCTAAAATATTAGAGCTTCCCACTGACAGCAACCCTGTGGTCAGGAGCATTTTCTCTGCCCTGACATGAGCAATAACCTGGTTTTAGCGTATGGTGAATCTGTGTAGATCAGCTGGCATTGCCAGTCTCACTTTCTGATACGTGCTTTGAGAAAACCACCTGAGTACTATTTTACATTGTGGCTGTTCTCTTTTGAGTGGTACAGATCACTGCTTCAGCTGTGCAGTGACACCATAGCCTCAGTTCTTGGGCCTGGATTCAGCAGGAATTGAGAAAATGAGTCTGAGAAAATGCAAGCTAATATTTTAGTGATTATTTCATGGTGACTAGCCTCTCTGGAACAGTTTGCTGTGAGTTTAAGGCCAACTCAGTGTCTCAAGAGGCAAATCCCTCAATCCTGAAGTTAAGATGAGTGATATTTCAGAAACGATGAGTCAGTGATCAGAAGTCAGTCTGTATGAATTTACTTCTTTGTGTGTGAAAATTAATGCTGGCAAAAGGGATCTCTGGCTGCCAGGAGTCTGGAAATCCCATTGCAGACAATGCAGGGCAGAGTGCTTTGATGCTGCTTCCTGGTGTTAAATCTCACTTTCCCTTTAGTAGCCTCCAAAAGGGGACAGAGCAGTTCAGTCTGGGGGTGTCCATTGATGTTTCCCTGATAAAGCTGATTCCCTCAACAGACAGGGCAGAGCTGCCCCAAATGCTCCAGGTACCTTGATCTCTGCCAGGCAGCCAAAAACTTCCATGTTGGCCTGGGAGGTGCAGGCAGAGGTGAATTTTGCTGTTCACTGCTGTTGTGGTGCTGGGTGGGTCCCCAGGATGAGGTGAGAGATGAGAAGCTGACTCCAAGTTCTTAGAAGGCTGATTTATTATTTTATGATGTTATATGATATGATATGAAAATGATATGATATGAAAATGATATACTAAAACTATACTAAAAAGAATATATAAATAAAAATAATATATGAATAATATATAAATAAATAAGATATAAATAATATATAAAAATAATATATAAATAAAAAGAGAAAAGATACATCAGGAGGCTAAACAAGAATGATAATAAAAACCCATGACAGACTCAGAGTCTGACACAGCTGGCTGTGATTGGCTATTAATTAAAAGCAATTCACATGCTGGGTAAACAGTTCTCCAAATCACATTCCAAAGCAGCAAAACAGGGAGAAGCTGAAGCTTTCCAGGAAAAGAAATCCTGGTGAAGGGATTTTTCATAAAATATCACGGTGACACACTGGCACAGCAGGAACACCTGAGAGTGGCAGCTAAACCCCAACACTTGGCTTTTTCTTGCTTGGGCTGTGAGGACGTTTCTGTGTCTTTCAGACTTTTTGGTGGATGTGTGACTGTGGGGCCCTTGTGTTGTTGCAGGGGAGGAGCAAGCGATGCAGACCCTGCCCGTGGACCATGAGAGGAGGATGTGGGAGCTGTCCCAGGCTCCATCCAAGCCCACCCCGAGGCAGCAGCGAGTGCAGCAGCGGCCGCTGCCCCCGCAGCCCCCGCAGCCCCAGCAGCCACGGCCCCGCACCCAGCCACGGACCCCAAACCCCCCCAGACACAGGCCCTGAGCACACAGCCTGGTGTGTAGCAGGCCCAGAGCCTGTAAGACTTCCCTGGCATTGAGACGCCTAAGATAGGAAATGCCAGCTCACGGTGACTGGCCTGGAAGCCCCTCTCTTCTGCCTTCGGACCCCTGCTTATCCCTCTGTAAGACTACAGGTCACTTTCCTTTAACCCTTGCTATTGGACAATTTCCAAAACCCCTGAACCCTATATAAAGGGCTGCTTTTGCCCAGCTCAGGCAGAAGAGCTGTCACTGGGAGCCTTCACAGAAGAGCCTTCTGTCACTGGGAACCTTTGCAGAAGAATCAATGAAGACATTGCTGTGGAACCTCACACAGCCTTCTCCTCTCTCTCCCTGCATCTGCCTGACTATGCAGAAGGGCTGAAATCACAATGAGCTGATAATCACTAAAGAGCTGATATCTTGGCCATTGGACAATTTCCAAAACCCCTGAACGCTATATAAAGGGCTGCTTTTGCCCAGCTCAGGCAGAAGAGCTGTCACTGGAAGCCTTCACAGAAGAATCAATGAAGACATTGCTGTGGAACCTCACACAGCCTTCTCCTCTCTCTCCCTGCCTCTGCTTACCTAGATGCCTAGCAAGATAAGAACTGAAATCACCATGAGCTGATCATCACTAAAGAGCTGATATCGCTTCAGCTTGCAGAGGTTGCCTGTGGCCAAGAACTGCTTGGGAGCTTGGACAGCTGTGCTGAACAGGTCAGAGCTATCCAGACCCCGTTGCAACCAGCTGGGAGCAGCCTGAACCCCAGAAAAGGCTGCATTACTGGCAGGAGGGATGTTGGTCTCTCTGCTCCACCATTCACTGGGAAAAGAAAGTTTGTGACAGCCAGGAGCCCCTTCTGCCCAGCCCTGTGTAATGCTCAGCTATGAAAAGGTGGCTTTCCTTGCAGAAAATCAGAGAGAGCATCAAGTGGAGACAAGGAGACTCAAGGTGATGGGCATTCATCCCTGTGGCCATTTTTCCATCATGTTAGGATATGGATATGGAACACTCAGCCCCTGTGTCTTTCTGTGCTTCACTTGCTTTCAGTGCACCTTGTTGTCCTCGTGCTTCTTGGATGGTTTTCACCAAGAGGAAGCTAAAGCTCTACTTGGACCAAACAGACCTATGGATCTTACAGGGTTTAATCTCCTGCTACACATTAGGACAGCTCTCTGGCTTCAGCATCAAATACATGGCCTCCTGGACCAAAAATGAGTTGTATGTAATTAAATATTTGTCTGAAGTTGAAAGGATTTGTGTCATATAATGCAGAGAAGAAAATATTGAAAGGATGTGTGAGAAACTTGAAGGACCTGTGTGGGAAAAACACAAATGGGAAAGGGAGAACTTTTCCCCTTTCTTCCTTTGCCTTTCTCCACTGTGTTTAGAAAAGAAACTATGGGCTTGGATTGCAGCAAGGGAGAGTTAGGTCAGTATTTTATTTTTCTTTTAAATGAAACACTGAGAGAGATTTCTGGGAGAGGTTCTCTAGCACTGGGGCTTCAAAGGGTGGGTGAGACAAAATTCTGTGAAGCCTTTCTGTTCTGACAAGGGCCAGGAGAATGTGCTACACAGCCTCTTCAGGGACAGTTTCAACTCAGTTTTCTGTGACTTTTAGGCAAATAAAACAAACCTTCATTCTCAGTATAATTCTGTGGGGCTATCCAGACAATTTTTGTTTTGCTTAGAAGAGGTCTGGTCTCCTTTGGCTTGTGAAACAAAGCATTATAAACTGCCAACCAGCAGGATTGCTGGTGGCACTATCAGAATTCTCAGGGATTTGCATCCCAGGGCCTCCTGCTGAGGGTGAGGGACTGTGTTTCTTGATTTTGCTGGTAAAGTCAAGAAACACAGTCCTCAGGTATAACCAGGGCATGATGGAGAGCTGCTGAGAGATCTGCATCCCCAAGGGAGAAGCTGGACTGCAAAAAGTGCACCTGCATCACCTTCCCTGTGCTGTTCCTCTGGGCCTTGGGGGTGGCCATAGCTGTCTCCACAGGACAGCTGAGGAGCTGGGAGCACAGGCCTGTTTTAGAGCAGAGTCTGCATGGGTACACTCAGCAATCTGGGGTAAAAGGCAGGGCAGGTGAAGGAGGAGAGAGCTACAAGAGGCACAGAGCATGAGACATCCAGCCAGCTAGCTGATGTGCCAGGCAGAAGAACACCCAACACCTCTTCCAGGCTGGCCCATCCCATATGTGCCAGGGGAGATAAAACAGCCATGCTTTGTTTCTCCTGAGAAATATGAGTATTTTTATCTTCTGGTGTAAGGGCGAGGAGGCAACTTGTCAGGAAAAGGAAGCCTCTGCCTCCTCCAGAGCTCAGTCACTCCACTTGAACTCTGACAGCAGGAATAGCCCTGGGAGTGCCACTTGCTCTCTTGCCTTAGCTTTCTGCAGCTGATTTTTGGGCTTTTGCTATTTAAAATTGCATTTGGTAAATGTTTCATGGTTTACTTTGTAACATACCATATGCTATATCTCTGTACTGAATAAATAAAGAGAAGACTGGGTGCAGAGGATCTTAGTTCACAGCTGTGCTGGTACTTCAGTATCTCACTTTGTATCAAAGGAGGCAAAAAACCCCATTTTGGTCCCTGAGCCACAGCGGCAGGGTGCAGGAGGTGTCACACCATCCCTGGGAGGTGCTGGGGTGCTCAGGCTGGTGTGGGTGAACACAGCTGCTCTGCCTGTCCTGTGCTGCCAGAGCTTTACTGGTGCTGCTCTGTGGTTACAGGTGTGGGGGTCCTTTCTGGGAGAGAGGGAGGGTTACTGGGGCCTGAAAAAGAAGATTTAGCCCAGTTGGGTTGATTTACCCCAAAACACAGTCCTTGGCAGGCAAGAAAATACTACTAGCACAGAGCATGCCTGTGCAATGGAAAGCTCACCAGAACAAAACTTATTTTTTATTTGCTCCTTTTCTTTTGATAGTCACCATTGTTTTTGTGATGTCTCCTTATACAAGTATTGTCCATTGCAGCACATCAGGAACAAACGTGAGACATCACAAAAACAATGATGACTGCCAATGGTCCATGACACATTCAGAAAAAATGCTGACTTATCAAACAAGCACTCAGCAGAACTTCATTTTTCAGAATGTGCGTCGTGGGGCATTCAAATCTCGGGTTTTTATGCTGTAGTGGATGTTTCAGTTCTGGAAAATGAGCTGACATTGGGACCTAAGACATAACAGGATGTGCTTGGCTCTGGTGGTTCTTGCTGTAACATTTCTTGGTTCTTCTTTTATAGATGCATCTACCACTGAGTCATGAGGTGAAGTGTTTTTTCCTACTCTTCTTAAGGGGGATGAGATGAGATGATCAATGCTGGTCTTGTCCTTTTCTGTCTGCTGCCTCATCCCTCTGTTTGAGAGCTGCAGTTTCTGCTGCCTGGGTATTAGCAGGGATCAGTTTTGTTGGTGGTGTGCTCCAGAGCCAGTGCTGAAGGAATGGGATGGAGGGAGGCTCAGTCCATGATCAAAGCAGGTCTGTGGTTGTGCTGTGGTCCTGTAGCACTCACCGGATGGGCAGACTGAGCGGGCACCCAAAAGGGCAATGGTTGGTTCTGTAGAACATACAAATCTTCTATCCCACCATTAACCCCTGTGAAAACAGCAGCACTTGCTGCCCAAACTTGGCCTTTCTAATAAAGTAGCCAGAACCTGCCTGTACCTCTGTTGGCCTGTCCAGAGGGAGGTTCTCAGGTTTCTGGCACAGGCCAGATAATAATTTCATTCCTAAACTAAAACTCTGAGTAAAAAGTCAAGTAGGAAACCATCGCTAGTACAAGCCTTTCTTGAGATGTTTACCAAAATGATGCCATGGGGAAAAGACACTGATTTTGTCCTTATTCTGCTACAGATATTCAGGTGCTGCAGCTGATAATGTAAGAGGTCTGGCCTCAGGATTTTGGATAAGATTAGTTTGTAGTAGCTATCAAGCTTGTGAAATACTGCTGCTGGGCAATCCTATCTCGTGCTGTGGGAAGAAAGATAAGGGTTAATTGAAGGGGAGCACAGTAAGAGGCCCTGTGCCTGTGGTTGGAAGGGGAGCACAGTAAGAGGCCCTGTGCCTGTGAATTGGCCTCCTGGCTCCTCTGCCAGCCTCAGCTCACAAGAGGAGTGCCAAATCCAACCTTCTCACTCTCCCCCACCAAAGTGCTCCTTCCCTCCCTGCAGAAGGGAGTTTACCACAGGACTTTTCCTCATCCTTCCAGCCTGCCTGCCTTGAGCCATGGAGCAGCTGAACCATGGGAGCCTTTCCCTCCCTCAGAGGTGCAGCTTCAGCCTTTACCCTTTCAAAGAGGTGCCAGACCAGCTGCTTGAGGGCCTCTGAAATTCCCCTTGGCTCTGCTACAGCCCTTTCACTCTTCCTTTGTGAGTGGGAGTTGCTTTCTCCCTAGGAATAGCAGGGACACAGGTGAAGGAGCTTTCCCAAAGCATGACATGGCTGCTGCTCCCCTGGACCTTCTGGTGGAGCTGGGGAGGTGTGAAAAGGAGCTGTGAGCAGAAAAGGGCAGGCATGTGAGGACCTACCTCACACAGTGATCAGTAAAGCATCTGCCAGCTACTGCCCAGGGCCTCCAGGCTGGGGTTCAGGGCAGGGATCAGCTGAGCTGGCCCAGTGAATAAGCCAGGCTTTGTGCATGGGGCATACAGGACAACAGGGCAGGCACAGAAATGGCTGCTGAGAAGATGAGCTGGATGGTCAGGAAGCAGGATTTGAGTCACATAACTTTGTCACATTCTCAGTCCTGGGGTGTGGTTTTTCTTTCTGTGCAGAGCTCCCGTCTGAAGTGGGATTTACCCTTTGAGCTGCCTGCCTTGCTGGGCCTCCTGCTACCCTCTCCTTTTTTCATCTGAGGACCAGCTGCCTTGTTCTCACCTCCTGTGACACTTCCCACCATTACTGTCTATTCTAGTTTTCCTTTGCTACAAAATGCCCACTCAGGCTGGTTTATCCTTCCTCTTTGAATGACACCTCAGGACTCCACCTATGCACATGTCAGCCTAAGGGAGGAAAGGGGACTTCCAAAGTGTCCTCGTGATCATACCTACCCTGAGAAGCCCTCTCTAGGTTGCTTTGCTGTTGGCTGCCTTTGCCAGTGCTGTCAGACACAATTCCTGGCTCTGGAAGGAACCTCTTGGCTGCCTTCTGCCATGGGAAGTGCACAACCTGGGCCGACTCACCTTCCTGAGTCTCACTGGGCCTGTGGTGAACCCCGGGCACGGAGCCCATGGTGCTGTGAGGCCCTGCTAGGGCAGTGTTTGATCCTGCCCACCTGCCTGCCACCAGCACTGGCCCCAGTGAGGTGCCAGAGCCTCGACTGCCTCTGCTTTGG